CAAATTAAATTTTCACACACAATCTCTAGTCTGCAGCTCAGTGCTGTTTAACACAGAAGTTTGATAAGGCGGTTCTTTGTTATGCAAAAAGCCTCCAGGCCCTGCCTCTTGGTTCTGGAAATCCTTAGCTAGGTTAATTCATATGCTGATTTATGTTAAAGACCCTTGCCTATGTGCTCTTTGCCGCTGGGAAACCAGACTGTGGTTTGGGTTATTAACCAATAATATATATTTCACCTTCTTTTTAATTTTTATTTTTTAATACTTGTGCTCTGAATTGGCAGCTGTGAGGCTGGTCCCCAGAGGGGGAGAATCCAGCTTATCAGGGGGATTGTTTGCTTCTCAGCTGATTGGAATTGATTCCGCTCCCTGGTTTCCGCTTATTTTCTCCCACACCAAGATCTACTTCAGGTAATAATCTGCTTTTTCTATTATTCTAACTTATGACTACCCGCCACCACCACTCCCAAAGCAGTGAGCTCAGGGCAGCCACCAGCGTGGAGAGCTCCGGCATGGGGTTCTCCTGTGTGTGGAGGTGCTGTCCCTTTAAGGTGTCAGCCAGAACAAACCGCGGCTCCAGCCAGGACGCAGCTGGCACGCCTGAGCTCGCAGAAGCTAGAGTGCTTTAAAGCGTTCTTGGTTTTCTTTGTGAGTGGAAATCACACGCAAAAAAAGAAATTCAGGAGAGACCCTAGTACCCTAGTTCTAATTTCTGGACTCCACCTCCCCATTCCCTTTGCCTTACCTCCCAATTTTCTGGTCTGGCAGCAGGATCTCTGGACGGGTGCGTTCTATCAGATAGCCACTTTCCTCCTGCACCCCCGTCACCAGTATTTTACATAACAGAGGAGTCACTCAGGGTGAACAGGTTTGACCAAATCTTCCAGACTAAAACTGACAATGAAGAGAAAATATGTTGTCCACTTGTGAATGATTAGCCACTGAATATTTCATCAATATCATCAGAACATTGTCAGAGATAGTGCCAGACGATGCGCCCCTCAGGTTGGATGGCACTCAAGGTATGACTGAGGAAGAACTTCCTCCTCAATGGACAGTCAACCATAATTATATGGATGGAGTAGGTTTTTGAAACCATTACTGACTCGTGGGACATGACTCAAAATGGGAAGAAACAGCTGCAAGCATCCATTACTAATCCAAACATAGAATGTACAAAGTATGTATATATATATACATGGAACTTGGTAGATGGAATTAATTGGAATCAAATTAACTCTATCCATAGGAAAGGATGATGGAGTAGCTCAATAATAGCAGATAACATGAGACCAGGGGCAGCCTGTGGAAGAAACATCAATTTCTCATATGAAAGTTAAAGCTGAAGCTGATTCAGAATATAACAAGCCTAGGAGCTGAAATACAATTTTGAATACACCCCAGCTGGATTTAAAGACTATCTCATGAGCAGATTTGACACATTGATCACATAAGACAGAAGACCTGACTAGCTATGGGAAAGGTGATGTGAAATCAGGATCATCATTGCTGACATTGAATGGCTCTTGGTTGAAACTGAAGAATACCAAAAAGATGCTTACTTGTGTGTTCTTGACTATGCAAAAACATCTGACCGTGTGGATCAAAACAAAATATGGTTAATATTGTAAAGAAGAACAAGCAAATTTGTCTTGGAGGAGGAAAATTCTATTGTGAAATGGATAACCTGTTCATGGATCAAGAGGCAGTAATTCGAACAGAGCATGGGCATACTGCATAGTTTAAAATCAGGAAAGTTGTGTGTCAAGGTTGTATCCTTCCACCAAACTTGTTCAATCTGTATGATGAAAAAATAATCTGAAAATTAAACGATTTAAAGAAAAAGGAGGCACCATAATTGTAGGAATAAACCAGGAAAAAATTGAGACTTTCTACTCCTTTAAAAAGTTTTCTGTAATCTTGGAAACCCATAGGAGGAGTTCTATCCTGTACTATGACCTAGCTATGAGTCAGAATGGACTTGATGGCAGTGAGTTTGTGTTTTATTTTTAATCTATGAATGACCAATCTTACCTACTGAAATCGAGGACGACTTGAGATACTTGCTGAAAATCAAAGATGATAGCCTTCAGTATGTATTATGACTCAATGTAAAAAAAAGAAAAAAATCACCACAACCCGACCAATAGACATGATTTATTGGAACAACAGATAATTAGAGGAAATATTGAAATAGTTAATGGTTTCATTCTACATTTCATTTTCATTGTGCTGAATCCACAATCCAAATTCATGAAAGCAGCAGTCAAATAATCAAGCGACACATTTTATTGGGTCAGATCTCTTTAAAGTGTTAAAGAGTAGAGATGTTAGTTAAATAAAGGACCAAAGTGCAGCTGCCCCAAGCCGTGGGATTTTCAATCACTCCACATCCATGTGAAAATTGGACAGTGAATATGAAATACTGGAGAACTGATGCATTTGAATTAAAGTGTTGGCAAAGAATTTTGAAAGTTCAATAAACTGCCGGAAGAACAAACACCTTTGTCTTGGAGGAGGTACAGCCAGAATGCTCTTTAGAAGGTGAGGATGAGGAGACTTTGCCTCATGTACATTGGGAATTTTATCAAGAGGAGTCCCTGGAAAGGGCGACCAGGCTTGGTAAAGTAGAGGGCAGTGAAAGAGAGGAAGAGCCTCAATGAGACAGATTGACTATGGCTGCAACAATGAGCTCAAACCAAAAAAGTGGGAAGGTGATGGAGGACTGGGCAGTGTTTTCTCTGTTGTGCATAGGATCCCTATGCGTTGGAATCAACTTGAAGGCATCTAACGACAAAAAGCAGAAGTATTGTGTGAGGTTTCCGGGTAGTGTTATTAAAGCAAGGATGCTTTAATATGATATGAACTAAATATATATAATAGGTTTCTTTGAAAAAAATATCTCCAGATTCCTTATCCCTCAAACCTAAATAATGGTTTGAGTGGCTTATAAAAAAAAGAAGAGGAAAAGTAAAATTGAAATATACTTGGAGTCTTTAATGAGAAGTTCATCTGAAACCAACAAAATAACTAACCAAAGCAAAGCAAAGGTGATTTTCCCTCTGTTTTCCTTCTTGTGTCTGGAATGTGGAAATGATGGAGTTCAAGAAACCATCTAATACTATGAGGATGGTAGAGCAACAAGCTATAAAGAGCATACAATGGTAGAACCCCTTTGGAAAATCGGCAGTTTCTTATACAATGAAGCATATGCCTACACTTGACTCAGGAGTTCCACTGCTAGTTATTTCCCCAAGAGAAATAATCATCCATTTCCTGGTGAAATAGTGGATTACCATGTTGGGCTGCTAACCACAGGTAAGCAGTTCAAAACCACCAGCATGTCTATGGGAGAAAGACGAAGCTTTCGACTCATAAAGTGTTGCAGTCACAGAAAACCCACAGGGGAAGATATACTCTGTCCTATAGGGTTGCTGTGAATTGGAATCAACTTGATTATAGTGAGAGATATTCACATGAAATTTGTATTTGTTTTGTTTTATATCATGGTGAAATTTATGTACCAAAATATTTGCCATTTTAACCCTTTTTATGTATAGCATCCATAATATTAATTATGTCTTACATGTAGTGTAACCATTGCCATTATACAAAGATTTGCACACAACTATTCATAACAGCTTTTTTTTTCCCAAAATGGAAGCATACTAAATCTCCACCAGCAGGTGGATAAACAAAGTGTGATAGTCATACAAAGGAATACTGTTGTTCTTAACTGCCATCAAGTTGCCTCCTGGAAAATGGCACCCTATGCATAAATGGATTGGAGTGTTGTGGTGCAAAGGATTTGTACTGGCTGATTTGGAGCCGTAAACAGGCCTTTGTTCCTAGTCTATCTTAATCAGGAAGCTCTGCTGAAACCTGTTCAGCATCATAGGAACATGATCTATTGACAGATGAGTGGTGGCTGCACATGAGCACATTGGCCAGATATTGAGCCTGGGTGTCCCATCTGGGCAATGGAATACTCCTCAGCAATAAGGAAGAACAAGCTTCTGACACATACAATACCATAGATGAGTCACGGCTATTATCAATGCCATTATCACCCTATACCACATGAAAGACAACTGATAAGCAGGAAAATATACATCTAATTTCATTGATATGAAATTCAAGAATAAGCACAACCCCTCCATGGTAAGAGATGGCAGAACAGTGGCTCCTTGCCGATGGGGCATGGAGATCAACTGGAAAGGGGCTTCCCATGGCATTGGGAATGATCTAGGCTTGGGCTGTTGATTACATAGTGTAGGCAGCCATCTATTGAAACTCATCAGACTCTATAGATTCTGGATCTGTGCAGCTCACTGAATTCACAAATAGATAATGACAATAGCCTGGGTCCTGAAGAATCTGTGAAGCCACCCTTTCCACCTGAACTGTCCATTTCTGAACTTGCTTTATATGAGAGAGAAATCAACTTCCACTTATCTCCTCCTTGTTTGTGACTCCTGTCTGTGGCTTAGTGGCCACCCATTGGGCTGAAAACTCTTGGGTTGAGCCTGCCAGAATTTATGAGGGAGAAAGGTAAGGCTTTTTACTCCCATCAAGAATTAGAGTCTTGGAAACTCATAGGTGCAGTTTCACCCTGTCCTGTGGGATCCCTACGAGTAAGCATTGACTTGATGGTAGTGAGTTGTTTGTTGTTGTTTTGGCCCCAACAACACAATATTTTTTCCACACCACTCACCGATTGCATGGCAGGCTCCACTCTTTACAATAGGCAATGAAGTCCAACCAGGGGTCTGGTCCTGGGAGCCAAGGAACAAGAGTTACTAAAAAGCAGGGTTCATCTGAATGCCATAGTCTAGAAAACACTCCCCCTGGCCTTTGTTTCAGGGTGTGCCCAGCCTGAGTCTGCAACCTCTTCTCCTCATCAAGTCCCCACCCACCCTGGAGAGTGTGGCATTGCTATGTCCCTACCCTCACACCTGACAGCTCATCCCACAAGCCAGATCCCACCTCAAGGGGTTTACTTGGGTCAGCAGATTGTTCTGGAATGCTGGCGCTGGGACTATTCTTAGCACACTGCCAATCCCCAGGAGACTCTGAAGATGCATGAGGCTGAGTAACAACTGCATCATAGTTATTACCTATGCTATCATCATCATCATTATTGCAGGATGTGGCTTTTGTGGTATGCCAATCAGCAGATATTTGGGAGCCTCTTCCAGCATGGGAAGAACCGGCCGAGGGCATGGCGCGGGGGGTAGGGGTGGGGGTGGGGGGTGGGGGGTGGCATTCCAAGTGGGTGTGGCGTCCTGGAACACAGTGAGGGCTGAGATTTTTTGGAGAGGTCTGGTGGGCAGTTGTTCAGCCCGCCCATTCTCTTCACTCACTGGCAGCTCCAGATTTGATAAGGAGCGGGTCATTCCTTGGAGTCTATATTGTGTCTGACGTGAAAATGCAAATCCTGTGGTCTTTCCTAGAAGAGTGTTTTCTCTCTCTTTTGGTTCTTCCTTTTGAAAGAAAGAAAGAGACTTGATAAGGGGCAGCATGAGGGGGCATTGGCTTGGAGGAGATAAGAACTGAAAGGGAAGGCAAGGGGAAGCCCATGAGGACAAAATCGTTATCCTAAAGGGGAACTCGTGTCCTGGGCATCTCCACACGTTTTGCTTCTTCTTGGTGTTTTATTTAACACATACATGGTGCTTACTGGGAGTCCCTGGCTGATATAAACGGATAATGCTCTTGGCTGCTTGCTGGAAGGTTGAAGTTTGAGTCCAAGTAGAGGTGCCTTGTAAGAAAGGCCTGGCATTCCACTCCCAAGAAATTAGCCATGGCATGACCTTTGGAACATGATTCTCTGCTGGCACCCGTGGGGTCGCCATGAGCCAGAGACGGCTGGAGGGCACCTAATTTTTCTTGGTTGAGGCTTACCATGCAATGTGGTAAGTGTTTATGAAAAGGAGAACTGAGTGAATTCTCCTAACAGGCCCAGGAAGTGGGTATACTGTTATTTGTATTTAATAGAGGAGGAAGCTGAGGTAAGGGAGGTTTAAGTAACTTACTTAAATCACATGGCTGGTAAGGGTCCCAATCCTGGTCAGCCTGCTGCAGAGGCTGTGCTCAGAAATGACAAACCAAAAGTATGAGCTCATTGCTCCATCACCCTCGATTTTGTTAAGCGCCTTGAAACCAGCTGTGGCCCATAGCAACCCTATGTACATCAGAATGAAACACTCCCTGGTCCTGCATCATCTCCACAATCATTCTTCTGTTAGAGCTCATTGTCACAGACATGCACTCTGTCAACCCATCTCGTTGAGGGCCTTCCTCTTTTTCTGCTACCCTGCTACTTTACCAAGCATGGTGGTCTTTTACAGAGACTGATCTCTCCTGACAACATGTCCAAAGTAGGTGAGACCAAGTCTTGTTATTCTCACTTCAAATGAGCATTCTGGCTGTGTTTCTTCCAAGAGAGTTGGGACACAAGGATCACCAGCCTTGGGTAATCCTGACAGCCCACATATCTTGCTCTTGTGCTCAAATAATATATTTTCATTAGATACTTTAAGGATTGTCTTATACCTTTAAAAAAAAAGAAAATGTTTTCATTTTAAGTATTTGCTTTCCCTCTCAAGGTATTTTTCCAAGAAACGCAATGGAGTATCTGTTTATATAACAATATCTGTTTATATAAAAATATCTGTGGGCAAACGAAAGAAATAAAAAATAGCTATCTCATACATTGTGCCATCTTTGTTACCCAGTGACACTGTGAGCCAGTCACAGCCCTGTAGATTTCTGAGACTCATTGCCCAGGATGCTGGTTAAGGGTCTTCGGCTTACAAAGGGAGCAAATTCCAAAGACACTGCTCAGCTAGAGATGCTCCAGAGCCACAGGTAATCCAGAATCATAACCCCAAGAAGCACAGAATTTTTAATAGAAGGAAAGCCAGTGTGTAGAACAGCTTTCTTGTGTTTCTTGTGATGTATCCTAGGGAAGATTCTAGAAACTGCCCACCCCACCACTGGCATTCCTGCCACCTGACCTATTTAGAGCTTGCCAAGGGGGACGTAGGGATGAGATTTTGAAAAATCGTACCTGGAATCCTTTTTCCTTCTCTCCCACCCACCACCACCCCAAATAAAAACCACCTCATGTAGAACTATGGGGAGGCAGGCCTTACCACATAGCACTTCCTCTGCAGATCTGAGGGGAATCCGAATCTTATGTGAACTTTGTTCTTGCCTCCATGACCTTATGTTAATGACTTGGAGGAGGTTCTGTTGTTTGTGGCCACCACAGGGGCCCCCTGGAAGAGCAGGGAGGGGCCTGCTGGGAACAGATAAAGGCCAAAAAGAACCTGGCCTCCCACTGGCCTAAGCAGGTGTGAGACAGCAGAAAAAGCATACAAACTTAGAGAAGGTGCTGAGAAAAAGCAAGATTCTGAATTGAAAACAGACTGTGCTCCACACTGGAGAGTGGATTTCTGTTCCCAGAGCCCTCTGCTCCTCAGCTGGGGCCATTGATCTCTGACCTGAAGGACTCATCTTTCCTCAGTGTCAGGTGCCAGTCCAAACCAACGTCCCACTAGGGCCTTCCCTGAAACACTACTGTCTTATCTGGAACCGTATTAGCACAGCTTGTTATTTGCGTACTGTACTGAGTACAAAGGGCAGACTAAATCTGCCCCAATGAGTCTTTGAGACTATAATTCTTTACTCAAATAGAAAGCCTCATCTTTCTTCCATGGAGGAACCGGTGGGTTCAGAACTGCTGACCTGGTGGTTATCAGGCAAACATCAAACCTACTACACCACCAGGACATTTCTGTTTAGCCTAGAGGCTTTCAAATAGATTCAAGAAGACCCATCCCAACCCTGTTCACTGCTATCACCATCCTTTCTGTGAAATCCCCACTACGTTCTGTGAAGTTCACCACTGTGTGTGTGTGTGTGTGTGTGTGTGTGTTATAAAAACAGGAACTTTGACCCCTTTTTAGAACTCTTCCAATTCCAGGTCTTGCTCAACAAAGCACGAATCCCCAGTGTCTTCGACCTGACTTGTCCCATGTGGAAATACACATTGGGGTTCCAGACACACTGAGCTAATGAGTGAGTGGACACTATTGTGCCATCTAATCTAACCCTGTGTGACAGGGCTGCACCTGAATTTTCTTTATTGAATAACCAGAATTGTTTTCTAAAATAAGTAATGTTAACTGAATCTCCCTGCCATCGAGTTACTCTGATGCTTAGCGACCCTGTAGGACAGGGAAGAATTGCCGCCATGAGTTTCTGAGCCTCTAACTCTTGCCAGGAGTAAAAAGCCTCATATTTCCCTCACTGAGTGGCTGGTGTTTCCGAACTGCTGAGCTTGAGGTTAGGGACCCAATGTGTAACCTACTATACCACCAGGGGTTGCTTATGGCAACTTTGTATATACCAAAATGAAATGTCGCCTGGTCTGGTGCCATCTTCATGGTCACTGCTGCCTGTGAGTCGAATGTTGTGCGCCAACACATCTAATGAAGGATCACCTGCATGTCCAATGACCCATCCCCTGCAGCAAATCCAATGTCCTTTTCTAGCGATCAGCCTTGCCTAAGGACATGTCCAAAGTGAGCAAGCATAAGCCCTTGCAGCCTCCCTTCCCAGGCACAGTGTGGTTCTGGAGAGCAGTGCTTCTTCTACAATGGGTGTGCTCATGCTTTTGGCTGACTGGGCAGATTCTATGAATATTTTTACTTTAAAAAAAAAAAAGTATTTCCCCCCTAACTTATTTGACCATAGAGTATATTTCCCTTTGTCCCTTGTATGAGATGACAAAAATTCACTCCCTTCCTAGTCATCCAAGGAAGGAGAAAACTTCCCTGCCCTGCCAGTAGAGGGCTTGGCCAATAGAATAAAAGTGGAAGGAATTGTGTGCCACTCTTGAGCCGAGATTTTAAGAGAAATGGTCCCGTTGGTGCTTATCTATCCTTCAAGAGGAAGGAACCCTGGTAACATAGTGGTTATGCATTGGGTTGTTAACCTCATGGTCAGCACTTCAAAAACACTAGGTACTCTGTGGGAGAAAGACAAGGTTTTCTACTTGAATAAGGAGGAACAGTTCTACCCTGTCCCATAGGGTCGCTATGAGTAGGAATCAACTCTCATTTTGAGTTAGAGTTTGCCAATGAGTCTGTTATACAGCATTATCATCAGAGGCAACAGCTAGCTGACTCACTATTCCTCTGCACTATGTGAAGGTTGCATTCCGCGCAACCTTGAAGAAATGTAGGGTCACAGTCTGTGCAATGGCCAAGCCAGCGTCACATGCAAGTCATTCAGTGTCAAAGCCTGTTTGTTCCCCTGCATGAAGATGACAGAGATAAGCAACAACTGCTTGTAGGCTGGAAAGATTGCCCGGACATGGTGTACTTTGGGGATTTCTTACTGCCAGAAGAAATACAGGTGATGTGGCAGGTGACAGTCCTAGTGTCTCTCAGCTGGCACTCAGAGGCACGTTCTGAGCCTTCAGTCAGGGCCACCAGAGGAAGTGGCTCATGGTGGTGCTGCCATAGTCATCACAGGGCAAGCCCTCTGAGGCGTTGGGTTACAGAGGTCCTGATGGGAACTCAGTGAGGGCTGCTTCAAAGCTCCTTCCTTTTTTAAACCTGCTGCTGAAACCACATTATTTTTGAAGTTTCTTGTCAGTAAGCTGAAATCCCTACCAATTTGCTGAGTCGGGACAAAATGCTAAATTGATGGTACCAAGAGACATTAAACCACCTACAACCCTTTAGACCATGTCAACAGATCATCCATAGCCTCAACTGCAGAAACATTTTACTAAATCCTCACTGTTTCTCCTCAAAGAGTAGGAATGCCCTTCTATCTTTTACAAACAGATGTCGGTCTGGCACGATTTTGGCTCCAGCTGGGGCAGTGAAATCACCTAAGCTAAGCTCTAGAGAGGATCACTTAGTCTTCATTCAAGAAATATATCATGAGGACTGTAGACCACCCAGGGACTGCACAATCCTTCTGTGTTGGCAGGGGCTGCATCACAGCCTGGCCCGTTGGGAAGACAGACAGGTCCATGGCAATTATAAGAAAAGATGCTGAGGGTGCTGGGGTGGTCTAGGGATACAGGAAAGGAACTATTGGGCATTGAAGCAATTATGAAGGACTCCTTCTTCCCATGGACCAAACCCATGCCAGTTGCCATGAACTTAACTCTGATTCATTGGGACTCCTTGAGGCCAAAG